AAACCCTAAACCCTTTGGGGGGTCTGGATTTTGACATGCACCCCTACAGATGTTGACTCGCAGCTGGCTGCTTGCTGACTCGATTTGCCGACTTCGGCCGGCGTTTGCTGAATCACGCTTCTCTGCTCGGCTGAGTCACCCAACGAAGCAGCCGAGCCCACTTGCCAGGAAGACGTCCCATCAAACCACCCAAGTCAAAGACGTGCTGGCGCTCCTTGGCAGAGAGGCAGCCCCTTACACGGTTCCAAGTAAATGTTGGTTGGTCACATCAATAACTTGGCAAGAATCGGCTGCAGCCACGAGGATGATGTTCGTCACGGCATTCAAGACCAGGACAAGCAGAGTTACACCTGCGTCCCAGAAGCTCAGCAATGTGCCGTTTACATTCTGGCAATGTGCTCCTGCTGCTACAAGAAGCGACGATCCAGCAGCTGCCCAAGGAAGACTGAGCATTCCGGAACCCAAACCTCCGTGCGTGGCGAGACAGCTCTTGCCTGCAGATGCTTACATCACAGTCAGGTGCTTCACTGGCAGTGCTTGGAAAGGAGCTTGCATTGATCAAGTTCAATGTCATGGCCTCACGGCAAGGGACGACCCTGGAGCTGAGAACCGCCCTGCACTTCTCTCTGCACTCTGCAGACCAGCAGCAGGTGCTGAGACCTTGCATGGCTGCGTGCCCTCCGACTCGTGCTCGAGGAGTGGTGCCGAGAGCTCACCAAAGCCACCTTTCTGAGCAGCGGTTCTATGAAAGGCCACATTGGCCACATGCTGCACATGATCCGCCGGAGCCGAGTGCCCGCCAAGCCACTTGGCAACGACTGGCATCCTCTCGAAAGCGACCCCAAGGACTCCTGGCGAGCAGGAAACCGTCGTGCCGCAAAGTGCGGCACGTCAGATGGTCCTCACAAGAATCCTCCTTCCAAGACAGTGTGAAGGATTGCGGGGAGCCCTCGTAACCTGCAGAACCCACGTTACGACGAATTCGCCTGCGGCTCACAGAACCCGTGAGGACGCCAAGTTGCGAGAGGCTCCCATCGCCAAAAAGTGCCCAAACTCGAGCACACAGCTACAGTCGGGCATTTGTTCTCAGAGCATGGCAGCCGGCATCTGCATTGCAACGGAACCGATCTATAGCATAGCTACGTAGTTGATGTTCTACCGTGGCCTGCCACACGCGCTGCCAGCAATCCCTCCCCTTCATCACTAGTACAAAGCAAAAGTTTCTACAGTTACCCTCACCTAGTTGCAGCTGCCAGGCTCCACACACGGCTGTTTTCGTGATCGTACACCGTAAAGTATTTCCTCCGAACAAGAAAGAGCTCATGGGATCCATACCGCTCAGGAGGCAGGAATATTTTCGTCCGAGCCACTGAAGAAACGGGATCCCGAAAACGAAGAGTGGCCCCTGCATGTTCTGCAAAACAGAGCTTCTGGCGAGAAGGCTCCTCACATGTCCGGCATATGTGTTGCCTTGGGTGGAGGAACGTCCAAGTTCATCAAGGACAGGTTGCAGCCACCGAAGGATCCCTGCATGCTGCCAGGTGCTCGTCCCAACATGCGGACTGGAAGAGCAACTTGACCGCAAGCGCTAGACCCGACCTTCATCAAACACTCTAACCATTGTGACACAGGCCTCGGATGTGTAGTCTTTCGGCGACAGGGACAGAATTTTGGGCTTGCCATTGGGACCACCTGACAGCCCGGCAACTGCAAATCACCACCGAAGACATGGACGCGAAGTCATGCCAGCACGGCGGACAGAGAAGCCCAGGTGCGGCAAGGAATCCTTGGAACGCCATCGAATGAAAGCCTCCTTGTGCTCAGCTTTGCAACTGTCTCATAGCTTTCCTTTCATGTACATTGCCTGATAAACTGAGGTCTCTGCCAGGTTTGAGCAGTCATGTCCCGAACCCAGAAGCCTTTCGAAGCGGCTTGCAAGCAGCATGAATTTGGGATGCACCCCATTCAGGTTTGAACGCACGTGGACGTGTGGTGGTGGTGTTGTGTACCAACATGCAGGGGCATCGGCCCGGAATGATGACCCATCCCAGCGAAACTAGTCATCCGGCAGTATACCTGGGTCTGACATAAGTCAGACGCATCATGTTAAGACCATCGTTGCCTTGCTGCATATTGAGAGAGATCGGAAAATAGAAAATCAAAAATACATGTATGTGTGCGTGTGTATGAGGTCACATGCTGATGCATCGCAGCCAAGCAGCCCCTCCAGCCGGGCAATGATGTCTGATGGACCTGGTGTTGCAGCTTCCCATCCCTGTGCTATCCACAGCTCGCTACACTGAGAATATCCGAACCTCCTCTCAAGTCTTGTATGTCAGGGTATCCACTTGAGGGCCCGCGAGCCTGCAAGTTCGGAGGTGCCGGTGTCCACTGCCACTCGGCAACCCTGACAAAGCTTCCTGAGCCCAAGCTGCCGCAGTCGATCGAAAATCTCAGTAAACTAGGCACTGACTCAAAAGCCATAATCAGCTTGGATTCTGAGCTTTATCTCCGAGATAAATATCCTGGATCTCAACCTGCGCGGATCAAACAATCAGATCGGACAACTGTTCGCAATTTTCAGGTCTAGTTCCTGCCTGCCAATAGCCTGCATCCCCGACCACGTTCACCCAGTACAGCTCTGACGCCATGTGCTCCTGATAATGTCGGATAACGACGCTTGCAAGCAGACCTTTGCAAGAGCTTGCGCTTCCTCTTTGATAGCTCCAAAGGTGATCTCCGACTTCTCTTCATCGGAGTCTGACAGAAACACAGAGAAAAGCGGCTGCCTGAGTGTCAGTCACGGGCTGCAGTAAAGTGCACTTAGTTGCAAGTCAGCACACCTGACATCCTGAAGACTGTTAGCAGCCAAGCCAGTTCGGAGTTTGAGAGAGCGAGTGGGCGAAAGCGGACTTCCGTCAGTGAGTGAGTTGGTGAGTTGGTGGGTTGATGGGTTGGTAGGTTGGTGGGTTGGTGATCGGTGGGCTGGTGGGTTGGTGGGTTGGTGGGTTGGTGCCTTGGTGGGTTCGTGGTGTCGGAGAGTGAATGCGTGAGTGCAGAGATAGCCAGGGACATGCGAGAGGCACCGAGAGAGAAGAGGAGAGAGGTGAGAGGAGGTGCCATAGAAAGGAGAGGACGGCAGAAAGAAAGAGTCAGAGAGAAACTGAGACAGCATGACAGAGAAGCTCGGGGGCAGGAGGCAGAGAGGCAGAAGCAGAGAGACAGAAAGACCAGAGAGACGAGAGTCACTTAACAAAAGAAGCATGACTGAAAAACGAACGGCACCAGGGGCGAGGGCAAGGCCAAAGAGCGGACAAAGCATGGAGAGAGGCCCGAAGTGTGCTCTTGGGGCTCGGGCGCTAGCACGCCTGCGCCATGTAAGCGGCTCATCACGCTGAACTCGTTGGACTGGCAGAGTGGCGCAAGCTCAAAGGTCGGAGACCAAGCCTGGAATGCGTTGCCTTCAGCCGGCCTGCGCCATGGAGTCCAGCGCGAGGCCAAGCACCCCGTCGAAGGAGAAGGTGGCAAAAGGCGTGTAACTCTCGTCCTGATGTAAACATGTGATGGTCATGACTTGCTGGCCATCGTGACACTGAGGTGTCGGCAAGCGACGAAATGAAGTTGCCTTTGGAGCATGCGGCCCCAACCTGGTGTCAAGGCAGAAACCGGTTGCATGCTGGGAGCAGGGACTTCTGTAAATCTACGCTCACGTAATGCCTGATCAATGACGTTTCTTGCTGCATCCGGGTGACACAAATGGAGTCCGTGAAGCACTGGCCAGTAATCTTTCCCGTGCCGAAGGTAATGGTAATTTCGTCCTCGAGCAGCGCAACGGACAACAGTGACGGTCTGTCCGGTGTACAGCCGGGACGTCGTTCCAGAAGTTCAATCGACCAGAACATATAACATCTTATGAAAGAAGGCAATGCTTGTTTGCTATTTTGGAGTACGCAACGGTCCGCCAGCATCCCGCGAGAGACATTGCTGCCATCGCAATTGATTGCATTGATCTCGGAGGGCAGACGCGTAAATCAAAGACGCAAGTTCCGGAACGATCGTGAAAGCATGTTGGACCGACATACGTGTCGTGTAGAGTACTCAGGACTAGACTCCATCGCTCTTCCTGGGACAGGGGAAAACAAACGCAAACTGCTGAAACCAGGGCATGAACATGCCGACCTGGCCTATGATCGAAACGTCGATGGCTGGTGCAGGCCTTACATCAATATGATGACACCAACTGCACTGCACAAGCAGAAAAGAAGGTCGCGGCATCGCTGGAGCAATCACTGCCAGGAACCTCATTGTGACCACTTTGCCTCAACATTCCCTGCAATGCCAGAGGCAGGCCATCGGCCAATCTTAGGCCAGCACTATGAGATTTCCGCTCCCAGTGTCAAAAACAACTGAAAACTCCTGGCGTTAGGGTTTGATACTCATCACGCTGACAAAGCTCCACACACTCGATGCACCTGTGGAGGGTTTCCGACCTGCCACGACTAAGACGAGATGGCAAACGAAAGCACTGAGCACGCCCACCTGTATGGTGCCGAAATATGCCATCTTGTGCTGCACGCTGCTCTTGCTGGCCTACGAGCACTCAACCTCCGTCTGGCATGGACGGCTCACTAACTTGGTCAAGGCCTCCGCATGCTTCCTCACTGTTGCAACTGTCGCAACTCGCTTGTGCAGCGCGACGGACACGGAAGTCTGCCAAATCCAGCGCAACCGCAAGCTTCCGACCATCAAGGACAAAACAAATCGGACTGTTGACAAATGGTCGTGCCGCACATTGTCGATTACGGTGAAAACGAGGCAGCCTGAGTCGCCGAAACGACCCATAGCCCCAGCACTGCTGGGGCCCAGAAATTCGCTAAGCGAAGCATCCTGAGCTCCGTTTCACACTCCTGCTCCGGAAACCGGCACAGTATGCACGGACTTTTGTTCGCCTATGCAATTGTAGCAAACGCACAGGCGCAAAAACACGACTCAATCCATGTAAGCTGCGGACGCTCACTACCGAAAGGAAGCAAGTGCTGGTGGAGGGATGTGCTTTTGCAACCCCACCAGCCCTGCATATTGAGCATCAAAGCGGCGGAGCCATTTCGCGGCCCATCGTTCTAGACATCCAAGCCACCCACACAGAATGCTGCTCTTGCATGCACATTGCAATTGAATGTTTGCAGGTACGTGTCTTGATTTAGCTAAATTCGAAGGCCATGCTCTGCAGGGGCTCTGGGAGTCCATGAACGGTGGTAC